CATATATTTGGTATACACCTATCTTGTAAAGAAATAGCAATAATTTTAAACATCACAATGCAGGATCGCATACTCATTTTTCTTAATTGTACATACATGCTGTTTGACACACAGATACATGTATTTTTATTATGAACATTTTTTGTGTAACTGTATTCTATGTTTCTTCAACCAAGATATTTATAATATTCTCTTGTAACATACATTGTTGGATTGGATATATAAATTTCATTTATACACATAAAATTTGTGAAACTGGTATAAATATGTGTGTATAAATTTGCATGGAAATCATGGAAATTACTTTTGTTAAATGGATGTTTTGTCACAACAGGTAATAATCTATCACTTTTACTATCAATATTAAACACGGAATAGTAATTTTAAAAAACTATATCTAGTGTGTGTGTGTAAATGATTTCACTGTTTGTAGTAAATATAAGTTTGTCGACATTTTTATGAACTTTAAATGTTTGAATTAGGCATATCGTTTCTATAAATAATACAGGGAAAAACCTATATAATATGTAAACATAAACCAGCTGTTGTGTTCACACTTTTTCTGTCTACATATATCTTCTCATAACAACGTGTTACTATACTTAGTATTGCTTCATTACCACTCATTTTCTTATGAACATATAAAGATAGGTGTTGCCTTTAATACTGAACACGGAATCTGCATCTAAACCTGATAGGGAGGAAGTTTCGTGCACACTTTTTTGTCTTATTTTTACCCAGCATTTTCTTTATCAATTCAAATACTTCGTTTATTTCAACGGTCATTAACAATGTTGCCTATACTTTATTCTGCATCTGCCGTATTCAACATGCATAGTTGGTTGTCATGTGACAAAACGTTACCGCCTTGCAAACGCTGACAAGTTATCTAAATAATGACTAGCACATTATTCGCAAGGACGATTAACATACCAGTTTGTCGCATCTAGGAAATAGTTAAATATTTATAATCAAAACTATTTTGAATAGGTTAGATGTCTCCCATTCCAACCTCATTTTGACCACCTGAGCATATACCTCACTATAATACGCTTACTAACCTTATACAAATGATCAATTATAAAAAAATTATTGTCACATTTGAAAGATAAGAAGTAAGCAATATCCTTTAACTCTACGTTCCGCTATATAGATGATGTTCTCTCACTAAATAATACAAAATTTGGTGACTATGTTGAACGGATCTATCCCATCGAACTAGTGATAAGGAATACTACAGATACAGTTAAGTCTGCCTCATATCTTGACTAACATTTAGAAATTGACAATGAGGGTCGGTTGAAAACAAAACAACAGAGATGATTTCAGCTTCCCAATTGTGAACTTTCCATTTCCATTTCTATGTAGCAACATTCCAGCAGCATACGGAGTATATATCTCCCAATTGATACGATATTCCCGGGCTTGTGTTTCCTATCATGATTTCCTTGATAGAGGATTGCTGCTCACAAGGAAGCTATTAAACCAAGAGTTCCAAATAGTGAAGTTGAACTCATCCCTTCGTAAATTTACGGACGCCATCACGAGTTGGTTGACCGTTATGGAATAACCGTTTCACAGATGATATCGGATATGTTCTTTATGTCGTAACTTCAATACCCTCCCTTTTCACGAATGTGACTTACAAAATAAGACTATTTACCGGATTTTTAATAACATAAGCAACACGACGGGTGCCACATGTGGAGCAGGATCTGCTTACCCTTCCGGAGCACCTGAGATCACCCCTAGCTTTTGGTGGGGGTCGTGTTGCTTAGTCTTTGGTTTTCTATGTTGTGTCATCTGTACTATTATTTGTTTGTTTGTCTTTTTATTTTTGGCCATGGCGTTGTCCGTTTTTTTTTTCGATCTATGAGTTTGACTGTCCCTCTGGTATCTTTCGTCCCTCTTTTTTGAATTCATGTTTTTGAAAAATTAAAAATACCATATTTCGATTTTAAATGTCCTGCAGACACTATGATAGAATTGCAAAATCAATAATATCCTTGTTTGTCATAGCTGGAAAATGTTCGTTGTTGTTTTTCAGCTTGTATGTATTATATCATCTGTTTTGTACGATTTCTGTGATGTATGTTTTTGCGTGTGTTTGTGCTGCAATGTGTCACGTTGTGTTATCATTTTAGCGATATTTCATAACATTGTCATAAAGCGGGATGTTTGGCTAGGTATTAAACCAGGTTCAACCTACAATGTTTTTCTTATAATGTCCTGTAACAATCTGAAATGTGACATTAGTTATCAAATAGTTCATTTCTATGTGTGTTGACGTTTGTTTTTGTTACACTTCGGTGTTCTTGTTGTTGCTTTGTTTTCTCTCTTATAGTTGATGTGTTTCCCCTGGTTTTGGTTTGATACCCGGATTTTTTTCCCTCTTAATCGATTTATGACTTTTGAATACCGGTATAATACTGTTACCTTTATTTAACGCAGTGAAATTACCAGAACAGACAGAATGTTTAACCTTTTTTAGTAGACGACAATGCTTATATATAAAACAAAAGTACCAACTGGTGTCCTCGAAAACATAATTTTTAAAAAATGAAAGATTCGCGAAAATGTGTTATACTACGGACAGTTTGGAACATCGTGAAAATTATGCAGAGAGCTTCATATTTTGTGTGTATATGATATTTTCCTGTTTTTTCCTTTTCTTTTTAATATGAAGCAAAATATTTACTATTTTCTAGTGCACTTTTCATGTTGGAAAATGACAGCAAGACTATAATGCAAGTTATTTTTTACCAAAAAAGTGAAAAAATAATCTAAAAAAAGTCAACTGATACGGTTTCAAAAATAACTTTTTCTGAGCATGGGTACCAAAAAAAGCAAGGTATTGCTCTCGCTTCTCCGATATCAGTTAACCCATTGTGTTTATGATTTATTTGTAACGTTTCTCCCTTAATTATTTTTTAGTGAGATTTATTCTGGCAAACATATTAGAATACATATGTTATACATTTCAGATATTTATCATTTAGCATACCATCTTGATTAGTAATACTACTAGTCCGTATACTTGAACTGATTATCATAAGTCTGTTTTTTTATTATGACACCACAATCATTCCTAATAGTTATTAAAGGTACAAGGATTATAATTAAATACGCCAGACGCGCGTTTCGTCTACATAAGACTCATCAGTGACGCTCATATCAAAATAGTTATAAAGCCAAACAAGTACAAAGTTGAAGAGCATTGAGGACCCAAAATTCCAAAAAGTTGTGCCAAATACGGCTAAGGTAATCTATTCCTGGGATAGAAAAATCCTTAATTTTTCGAAAAATCTAAACTTTCCTTTACTGCAAGTAAAATGCTATATTTTACTGATTTTCAAATATATACTTCGGTCTTGAAAATTCAAAGCGAACGCCTGCTTCAACTGATAAGCAATAGACAGAAAAAGTATTATAGACATTATGTTACACATTTTGTGGTAACACATATATTTTCTATATTTAAAGACAGAAACGTTTGTAGCAAATGTGTACAAAATGTCTAAAAGTTGGAATTTTTTATATATCAGTTATTGAGGGTTTTTTTATTACTAAGATAAGTATCACAGTATATTTCCGCACAAAATTCAAAGGCTGTATTCAAAAGATGTGTGGCTCTTTTTGTGTTATTCTTATAAAAAGTAGTACAATCTTATTTGCCATGCATGTCTTGACACTTTCCCAGAAACATTCTCAGACACCCTTTGTTCCAGAAATTAATTTATTGTTTAATGTATACCCTGCATCGTAGGAAAAACCAAAGGAGTCAAAACCTCTGACATAAATTCTTAAATCTGACATGACTACATCCTTAATATGCTATTTGTCCATAACAAATATATAACAGTTTTTGATAATATTTTTTTCATATCCGTATCGGTGCATTTGAATTATGAAATCAGTGTGCTCCTCTACAAGTTAGATATTTTGTGAAATGGAACATCTAACTTGTATCTACAACGACATTATGCAGAATGAGAAGATTTATTTATTGATTTCCGAGACTAAAACGCCACTTTCAGTATTATTGAACGATTAATTATATTTGTGGAGATAATCATCGAACATCGGTAGGAAAACTGTTAATCAAAGTCAATTAAGATTTTAGTCGAACGCACCTGCCACGTGCCAAATCGAACTCGCAACCTAAGTACTGACAGGCTAGTGATAATGTAGTAAGACTTCTACTAGTAAGTGAGATTATGATATAGAAATTTCAATAAAACATGAATCACAGAAGTGAAGTGTACAGAAAGAAGTATATATATTATTGAAAACTTTTGGAGTTGCTAGCAATTATAACTGCAATATGCGGTGTAAAAATGTGGTTTACACAATGATTATACCATACCCGTATCAATTAAATCACAAAATGTGTACTCTCATATTCAAAACCTTTTTTAAAAACCCGATTGCTGATTTTTGTGTCTTTGTTGCTGTCTTTTGATTACATGTACCTTGTTTCAGAGCCTTTATTTGGGTTAATGTTTTTGGGGCTTAAGGATGTTCGCTACTCTGTTTCAAAATAACAAGCTTTTGAAAATACTGTTATAAATTGAAAGTATATGAATAAAGGAACTGAAAAAGCAGAACAAAATGAAGGGTCCGTGTGCTTGTTTTCGATATATAAGTCATTGAAAATTTGGCGGGAAGTGATTCTCTCTAGATTTTTCATACATTTAGCATTGGCACCTTTTTTCTGTCAAAAACTATGAAAAAATAATAAGGATTTTATAAGATTTTCAAAACTTGCTTTTTAAACTAGACATAATAAAATTATGAAAAGAAAGGTAGGGGTTTGCGGGAAAAATTTTTTAATGGCACTACATGTATAAAACCAGAGGATTCCGAATATCTGGTAAAAATTCAAAAACAAGAGGAGCAAACATCCTTAAAAAAATACATATTCATTATCGTTTTAATATATTGTGTTTCATATTTCCAATGCTGATAGTGAGAATCATTGTATCGCATAATATTAAATGTTTCAGAATACAAAACAGATTTTAATCTCATTCAATCATATAAATATCTAAGTTTATAATATTTGTTATTTTTGATTACAAAAACCTGTTAATCGCGTTATTAACACATAGCCGATATCATTATCTTTGTCTGAACCTCATGCAATGTCCAATGATACAACGATCATACCGACAGCAGTCACTATTAACATGGCATAGTCTTCATCGACACGCACCTCGTTTTACAAGCCTAAAACAAAAGAATTACTAGACTAAATGCATACGATACATGTATAAAATCCATAACCAAACAATTTTGTTATTTGATGACATCAGTTTATATCTATGCAGACTAACTTGAGGTGGGAACTGAAATTGCACTGCTTTTTTTGTTTAGAAAGTGCTATGTACAAGTACTGATGAAATGTCTACTAAATTATTTTATTAACTCGAAACGTTTAAGTGTTTCTTTTTAATGGACGTCGTGTATCAATTACTTCTTAAGCTCAATATGTAACTCGATTCACATGAAACGCTCTGGTCAATCGTGAGGGAAACCAAGAGGACATGAACACCAACAATGAATGCAAATTCATTCTTTTTGGTGAAGAGAGACATCAACATAACCAAATCAATCTAAATCAATTAAAACTCGGGTAATTGAAACCTTAACTTCATGCTTTTCAACGGACAATTTCTGAAAGCAGTGTTATAAATCATGTAAGTACCAAAGCACTAACTATTGAACTGATTATATCCGCTGGTACTTAAAACTAACCAGGAGCGGTTTCGATCATGGCTTTACAAAATGAAAATAATTCTTAGTACATTTAATGCGTTCAATGCGTATTTTGTTCTGTAGGATCACTTAAATCCAAAAGCTTGACATTTTTCAAGTGGGTAGTAGCTAAAACACAGATAAAACATCAACATTTGTACTTGTCAGGAGTCATAAAATCGTCTTCATTTGTAGTTAATTGATGTTTTAATGTGGATGGCTGCATGTCCTTTTGTCATATATTTACCATTGTAGTTGTTTCCGTTTTTATGATAATATTTGTACAGTAACTTGCATCTTCTAACTTGCTTTTTTTCACATCCATATTTTCATATAACGATGCAGATATTTTAACAGTATACAAACATGTATTCTAGCATAGCATTTTATATTTTATTCGTCTAATGTCCATCTTCACTTATCTATTTCAAAAACAAAGATGTTTGATTGGTTGCGTTTGTTTATTCTTAAGAAAACACCATTCCATCTACAATACACTTATTGTTCCTAAAATGTCCTTGATTTTTCATAACTTCTAATAAAAATAACTATTTCAGAGCTATCCTTGATCAGTTCGAATAAAAAACATGCGGATAAACTTACTCATGAATAAGTGCATCGTTTTCGGATATTTCTTCTTTTGCCATATTAACTGAAAGTAAACTAAAAATGTAATTAAGGTCGTAACCAGGTAAACACATTAAGATATGACAACCATTGCCACGTTTCAGATTAGGGACAGACACATGGTTATGTGGCGGGGTAAGATATGTATTTTATTATATCCCACCCGCCCATTTGTGAAAGTCATCAGTGCACTTGCAAATGTTACATTGACATGATTAAAAACATACAAGAAACGTTCTACAAATGAAACTTGTATAAATTTAATTAATATTCTTTAAAAAAAAAGAGATTTAAAGTGACAAAAATAGCATTTAACATATCAATGTATGCATTTGTGTCTTGTTTTTTGGTTGGTTTCTTTATGGTACTGTCATTTATATCTACCTCAATAAGGAAACACAATTTTTATTTTTTAAATCGACAAAATCAGCAATGACTAATAAAATTGAGTATTGAAATGAAGAATGTGTAAAAGAGACATCATTCCAACCAAAAAGCAGAAAAAACTAGGCTTCCAATGGGTCAACGGGCGTCAGCTGGCCCATTAACAAAAATAGGTATTAGTCCAAGAGCAACCAAGGCAAGTGGCTTCTGAATGTAGACAGCGCACAAATGGGGAGGGGTTAAACATGTTTTTTGAGATCTCGACATCCCCCCTATACTTTTAGCCAATGTAGAATAAACAAACCCATACAGCAATAAGCACAATAAAACTCAGTTAAAACAAAGTCGGATGTCCGATGTCAGAATAGGTAACAGAAGAATATGCGCAAAATGACAATGCAACTTATATTAACAAAAGACTACTAGTAGTTACTTTCGTGCATCACGTAGGCTTTTTTGTTTGAAAAACAGACGGTATCGACCTTTGAACGTTCAACGGTGACAACAAGAAAATACACTAACGTGTCAATAAGGAAACCATTTGTGGAATAATATACATTTATGAGTTACAATCTAATAAACTTAAATAGATATTATGTTGTACTTACCTCCAACAGATACTAACAACAAACAGACGATTAAACAAAGATAAACCTTCATTCTCTGTTTTGTTCTCTACAACAAATACATAGAATTTCAATATTTTTTAGCCATAAGAAAACTTGAAAATTAAGATGGCAATTGCATACGAATGTAACTAGCAGAGCAACACGTTCGTATATTTACGTGCAATTATACTTTTTTTTTGTCTTGATTGGGTTGTTTTTTTTTTTCTTTTTTTATTCATTTTGATGATATATAAATCCATTTTCTCTCATCTAGTAAAATAGTTAAAATAAAAGTTCATTCTTTTAGTCAGTTTTATGCCATGATTTTTATGCTGGGCTGTTACATGTGTTACATTTTTTCTTTTGAAAGATATCATGCAATGTTCATAGGAAATCCAGTTAACTGTACAAAATATTGTGTTCTTAACTTTCAATCAAAGGGGCAAACACCCAGTTAAAATTGGCTTCTAGAATTAACAGTTTCAATTAAATAGGAAAGCAGTCCCAGTATTAAAAAAAGATAATTGAAGATACATTTAGTTCTATCAAAAATATGATAAAGATAAGATGTTTGGAATTCCATAAAAATGTTCGTGTACTAACACCATCATATTCACACGATTCAGTTAGAAAACCTTTTAAAACGTTGTTTTATTCAGAAATATTAACTGTTTTTATTGCAATTCAAAGTTGTTGACCTGTTCCCTCATATTATCTTGATAGGTCCTATATCTTAAACATTATAGAATCATTATGCTAGGCAAAACATTTTAAACCCTACAGTAATGTCATGACAATACGATGACATACTGTGTTGCGTATACAGCTACCCACAAGAGATCAAATGACACAGAAATTAACAACTATTGGTCATCGTACGGTCTTCAACAAGGACTTAAGTCAATACCGCATTGTCAGCTATAAAAAGGCCACGTCATGACAAATGTAAAAAAAAAATTAAAAAGAGAAAACTAACGGCCTAATTAATGTACAAAATAATGAATGAAACTCAAATATGATATACAGCAACAAACGACAACAACTGAATTCCAGACTCCTGAATTGGAACAAGCACATACATACATTGTAATATGGCAGGGTTGAACATGTTAGCGGGTGCCAAACCTTTTACTAACCCGAGACAGTGGTGTAACATTACAACATATGAACAAACTATAAAAATCAGTTGAAAATGGCTTAACTCATCATGTTTGTCTAATTTACTCTTCTCCTACCAATGTCATCAACCATCCAGGAAAAAACTTGAACTGTCGCACCAGTGTTCTACCTTACGTTACATAATAAAGAAAACGCCGGTTCTGGATCAATAATTTCTGACAATCTTGTAATCAACTATGCCTTACAATCATTATTAAACATATAGTTTGTTGTTAAAAAATTATTAACAGACAGTGCCCTACAAGTGCAAAATACAATAAATTTCAATCTGTCTTCGATTGCATTTGTAACTACGGCATACTTTTCTTCTGTCCTAATTCATTATTCAAACTCATTCGGCTCCCCCCCCCCCCCCCCAAAAAAAAAAAAAAAAACATGTGCCATAAGTTGATTGTTCAATGCACATGCTGAACATTGGTATTACTCTATCTGTTAAAAGATATCATGATGAGTTTGCTTTTGTGTCTTTACTTTTAGATTGAGAATGGAACAACCCGACCAAGGATCGGGAAACAGCCGAAGGCCTCCAATGCGTCTTCAATACAGCAAGAAAATCCCGCACCCGGATGCGTGCTACTAGTATTAATAGGGGTTGATAGTCGATAATGGTATTTACCAACTCCCCTAGGATATTTGTTAGCCATCTAACCAAACGGAACTATAATATGGCTTACATACCTTTAGTTCTTGCAGTAGACGTCGTTGACAATCCTTTTCAAAAGTTGACACCAAGTTATTTTATTTGCAAAATTTAGATTAAAGTAAGTTAGAACTTCGGTCGTCTATATCTGCCTGTCCCTATTGAAAACTTCCCCGGTTTACATATCAAAACTGTTTGCGCATTTTAGCTTAAGGTGTCACATTACATTGTTATAAAAGTATAAAAGAAAATTCTCGTGATTCGAACAACAGGAAGTTTAAGGCCAACACTGAAGACAGTTTATATTTATAACCGGTTTGTCCACTGACAAAAGCCAGGAAACATTGATTGTTTATGTAATCGATTTTTCTAAATATAAGATAGTACATAGGTCATATTGACATTCAAATCAATGGCCAATCTGTTGCATGATGACGATAGTACCTTTGTTGGAAAAGTATTTCTTCAGTTATTGTTTTACTTCTAGTTAAGACATATGAATGATTTATTTCGACGATTTCGATTACACTAAACATGCATACAACTTGAATTCATACATAAATTGTATAGTGTTCCGTTTAAACTATTATCATGATTTTACCTGTATTTTAACTTGCACGATAACACAACTTAACTTTATGTAATCGTTGTGTCTTGTACTTAACCAATAGATATGTTAAATAAGTAGTTTTACAGATTATTTGACATTAACATTTAAAATAGAAATGCTTTAAGGTTTTCGAATTTAAAAATATACTTCTTGTCAGTATAAAACGAACATCAAGTTTCAGTTAAAACTGTTGCACGTTGACCATTTACGATAAAATAATCAAAATAAAATAATCCTCAAAATTATATAAAGGAATAATGACTTAAGTGTTTACCTCTACACTTTGGTATTCATCACATCTTCAGCCCGTTTTATTAACAAGTAAAATAATATATTTTGTCTGATAAAGTTAATATACATTCGAAAAACAAGTAGAACAAGAAAATACAAAATCAAGACATCAAGACTGCTACAACATTAATCAATATCAAATTGTGTAAATGATATGGCCCCTGTCCGAAACATGTCTATTGAGTTATAAAAGATGTTATAATCTTTAACCTTGAAAATAGTTTAGGACGTTTATTTAATATTTACTTCGCTTTTGAATGTTGATTTGAACTATATTAAATATTACCAATACTTATAGTTAAATATGAAATATGAATAAGTCATTCCACGAGTACCTAGATTTCTGCAGATTATCATAAGTCAGTGTATCATTTTGACACCACACTTTGCTATACTGCAATGCAAATACTGTATGTTAATGGTTTTCAGGTGAAGTTTGATTTTTGATACTCAAAACAGATGTGTGATATATTAAGCAGTACCAAACAGAAACAATATCATAGAAATACCGTTACATGTTTTGTTGTAACAAACACATTTCCTATATATTGAGGCAGTACATTTTGTAGCAAATGAGTACAAAATGTCTCGAAGTGGGATTTGTTTTGTTTATCAGCTATTTTTTTTTCTTTTTAATTCTTGAATAAAGAATGTCACAGTGTATCCCCACACAAAATTACAAAAATGTGTAGCACTAAATGTTTCGTGCATCTCAAAAGTAATACAAATGTTTTTTTCCCATTTATATTTTGTCACGTTCACAACCAATCCTTAGATACCTTCGAACCCAGTATTTAAGTTAATAAATCAAGTAATTACGATAAAAGAGGCGTTTTCAATGACTATCATCAATGTAATTAGTTACCTAGTCGACATGATTTTGTTTCTTAACAGTCAAAACAAACAATGGTATATTTTGATTCAATTCCTATGCATAACAGTGCATTTTACTAGGAGCCTTAAAAGTGTAGTCCTATACGCTTTGAGTGTTCTTAAAGTGTTTTCAATGGAGTTATGAGTGCAGTCGGAGAAAAAAAACGATTGTCCTATTTTTGAAAATGCCAAAGATACTGAACACATATTGCATCAATCTGGCACTGGATTGATTAACAATACACAAACGCAAGATAAGAAACACTTGATGGAATAACATGAACTACCGAGATAGCATGCGTCTTGTGTGCTGAGACAAACACTTGGTTACTGTCAACCTTATCCTTATGTCTTCATATAGTGGTGCATTTTTTACGTCAGGTGTATATCGTCAAGAAAGTATGTTTACTGTTAACGTGTCTATATAACACCTCGAGATTGAGCAGAAAGTATGGTAGAGCTGGAAAACGGATGTAGATTTTGACAAAAATTATGACGTCTATCATAAACCTTTTTTAAAGTCGTCCAGCTAAGCTAATGCTAAGTCAAAATCCACGTATTGCGATCGCCTTATAAGATATAAAATATCTTGAATGTCAAGCTCTCTGTAGTATACTGGAATAAATTTACTGCAGTGATGGTTATTGATAGCTAGAACACAAATATGTTTGTATATGATATTTAAAAAAATGCAATGTTTAAAGCCGTATGGTGCTAAACTATGGTTTGTGTTGTTGTTATAGTTGCTGTCTGACTAACGTATATAATTGAACAAGTGTTTAATATTCCAGTACTTGTCTTTTTTTATTTCATTTAGAATGTTTTGTAAAAGTTTTGATTACAATAATTATGTAACAAGGTTTAGTAGGGTAGACTTTTAGTACTACTTGGAATTCCGACTGTTGTTGATATGTTATTTAATCAAATTTACAAACGTAATTTTGATAACAAAAAATATCAAATAAAAAGTTGATGAACTGCATGCTTAAATTGATAATTTCGAATCTCTTCAAAGTTTTGATTTGTTTAACCCAATATACCACACACCTCATTTAATGACCATTTAATAAGACAGAACGCAAATATATATTTTTTAGTTTTTTTCGGATATTTTTTGGTAACAACAAACAAAAGACCTATGTCATTTGTATCTGTTTCGATACTATAACTGACTGAATTTTTACTAGATAACATTTATTTTCGCTATGGAGATTCCTTATATCTTCAAGTTTTCAGAATTCTAATGGGAACTTACTGTGTACCATTTATTGCGGACCTGTTTCTGTATTGTTATGAGTTACAATTTATGACTAAAATCAGTAAATACCCACAAAAACAACATCTGATATTAAAATTGAGTAACACTTTTAGATATTTGGTTGATATACTGGCTCTCTATAATGATGACTTCAGTATGTACACTTATGAGATTTATCCTCCTGAACTGACTTTTAATAAAGCTAATACTAACAATGAACACTGCCCTGTCCTTCATTTTGATATCTATAATTTTAATGAGAAGCTTAATACCAAAATTTTATGAAAGAGAGGATTTTTCATTTCCTATTGTGAATTATCCATTTTTAGATGGTGACGTTCCCTTGTCATTTTATGGTGTTTATGTTTCTAAACTTGATCGATTCGCTCGTGTATGTAACAACGTATTTGATTTTAACGAACGAAATCTCTGAAAAAATAACAGTGTTTTCGATATCACAAACTTGTCAATACATTTACTAAATGCTATCATCGGTTCAAGGACGTCATTTGTAAATATAAATCAACGATTATTGTAGTAGATTTTTGATATATTGATAATCCGAATGTGATTGACACCGTAGGTTGAGTATACACGTATATCATCACAATATTCTGAAATGAACATATCAATTTCAATCCTATACCAATACTTTCTGTCACAGGCCTGCTTAGCAATCGGCAGTTACTGAACAGTGTTTTGCAGTAGTTTTGGGTTTTCGATGTTCTTCATATTCCTACAGTCATATGGCGTTTTTACTGTCTTGAATCAAGGGTGATGAATTCAACCTAAATATTATTCAAAGAATTAAACAAAAAACACTTGTTCATCATAGTTTCAAACTTAGTTTGTTCTAAAAGAAATACTTTCATTTTTGTTGATAAATATGTAATCGTTGAACAACCAGTTGTCATGATTTATCAATCTGTATGTTCAAACCGAGGTCAATTAGTGTCAAATTGAGACTATGTTTAGCATATCACGTGGATATACACATAAACAACATTGAAAGAAGACTGGATAAGAGTACATACGTACTATTACTAGATTCGTGTATTGTGCATAAATTTGTTTGATAATTAATTCTACTGGTTGCTTGCACTCGGAACTGGTTTTTTCTCATATAATATGATGCAAATAAGATTAACGTTACATACATTTTGTTTGCATTGTTTTAACCTTTTCATCTTTCTTTTTCTTAATAATTTTATGTTCAAATGTGAATAAAAAGAAGATAAGCTCTTAAACTTTTGTTTGTTTGTTTAGAATAAGAATGCAATTATTTATTTACTTAAATCATATCATACATTGTCAAAGTTTTAGGTACCCTTTGTACATCATGATGAGTTGGTTTTCATAAAATAGGATACATAGATCAGATTACAAATGTAGTTACGTGAATTTGGCGTGAACTTGACTGATCGGTGACTGATCGATGCCTGATGAAATATCGAAGTAGTATCACATAAGGTTGCACTTACTGCATAGTTGTGCAATCTACATTTCGATATCCAAGTTCTGTTTTATTGAGTAACTCACCGATTACAACAGTTCACTTTGATCACTTAGTTTACTTTAGATCAGTTATTGATATTTAATGACATATATAACCTTGCCAGTATAATAAACATAACAAAAACTTGAAATATATTTTAAATTTACTGGTTGGTCAAATAAGATTTTGGACAGAACTAAACTTCTATCTACTGTTTGCCTAGATTATCATCAATTTTAAAATACCTTTACCCATTTGAAAATTATTATATGTGTGTCGCTTTCAAATAAAATAAAAGTTTCATACATCACAATTTAACTGAAATTCATTTTTACAAGTCCACTTTTTAAAAGATTATATTTTCATGTTTCTGTAAGGATTGCTAGGACCTGTAAATGATGGATAGCTGAACACTCTAGCCAGTGCAATACCCACACTTACATCCAGGAGGATCAGTATTAGGAGGTATCAGAGGTATAGGACGACACGGACTTCTTTTTACAAGCCTGAAACGAAACATTAGCTATAATAAATACTTTTAGTCAATACTCTATAATCACACATGTCTTGTATGCGTAACATTAGTGTATATTACGGATTACAAATGTGTCGAGTTTTTTTATTGGATACCAACACAAAGATTTCAGTATATATTCAGGAAACTGCCGTTCTATATAAGACGTTTTTATTCAAATTGGAACCTCAACAACGTCACCATAACACCTGTTACTATGTGACGTAGTCTAAAGCTATACAGAACACTTAAAGATTTCAGAGGCTAACATAGGGAAAATA